ATAAGGAAGACCAAAGAAGAGTTGATGCTTTTGAGTTGTGGTGCTGGCGAAGAATGCTGAAAGTACCATGGACTGCTGAAAGAACTAACAGATCTGTCCTGGAGGAAGTGCAGCCAGAATGCTCCTCGGAATCAAGAATGGCCAGACTTTGTCTCATCTATTTTGGTCATGTTGTAAGAAGGGACCATTCCCTGGAGAAGGATGTCATGCTTGGTAGGGTGGAGAGTTGATGAAAGAGGGGGAGGTCTTCAACAAGATGGATTGACACTGTGGCTGCAATGATGGGCTCAAGTATAGCAGGGATTTGGGGGCTGGCGCGGGATCAGGCAGTGTTTCATTCTGCTGTGCATGGGGTCGCTATGAGTTGGAAACGACTCGACGGCACTTAACAACAACAACAACAATGTGTCACTAGACACATACTAGTTACTAGAGTTAAAAGTCTTTATCATATAGCCTAGATATGAAATAAACTTTAAAACCAGTTTTGAACAATGGAAACTATTGTTTTGAACAGTCCACTCTGCACTAGATTTTCTGGCTTTTGCTGTTGTCATTCTTTGATTTTCATAGGAATCTGTGCCAGAGTGTACACATTACAGGCAAACAAGTGCTCCTTAAAATTGTCCAAATAGACAAAATTTGTCTCTAGCCTGCTTTTATCCTCTTTTTAGCACTTCACTTGTCTGATCTGGCACTTTTAACTCATGTAGTAGCTTCAAAATTGTCATTTTTCCTCCAGCCCTCATTGATTCCCTTAAGGGCTTCAGCACTTTCCTCCTTATAATGCTACAGGCCTTTATAACAGAAAACCCTTTTTCATTATCTCAGATCACATAAATAACATAAAGGTGGTGGTAGAGGTGGTGGTGATTTGCCCTCATCCATTCCAACTCAGAGTGACCCAGTAGAATAGAGTAAAACTCTGCAATCTTTACAAGAATAGATCCTTAGGTCTTTCCTGCTAAGCCTCTGGTAGCTTCAAACTGCCAACCTTTTGGTTAGTAGCCAGTGATTAACCATTGTGTTCACAGGGCCCCTTATAAAAGGGTTAACAGATATCAAAGAAGTACACAAACACACACACACATACACACATGAGAGGTACTGTGTGAGAGACTGAGAAGCATAACTGAGGGTAGGAATTACTGATATCTGTATAAGGAACCATTAAAAACGTCAAGATCAAGGTAGACTCTGTGGATAAGACACATTAAAAGAATTAAAAGAATTGTAAAGTATTTTTGCATATTTGTCTATCATTTTTCTTCAGAATCATCCCATTTATAAAAGAATTTTAGATTTGATGTTTTCAGTCATCTGTAATAAAAAAATATATATAGCTTTTTCTTAAACCTAGTCACAACCTAGATTTTGATGAAGATTCAGTGAAAGACTGAAAATGTGGTGATTTTTGATCTATTCATTCACAACACAACAAATATTTGTTGAGTACCTACTATATTTTGTGCCTGGAAATAGAATAGCTGTCCAGAACTGTTTATTTGGTTTTTGCTTGTATTGATACTCTCAATTTGTCTGAGAGGTACTAGTACCTTTACGTATTTCCTATTCTAAAGATTTTTTGGGGAATTAGAAGTTGTCTAAAATTTACTGCTTTCAATAAAATCCTAAAATCTATCTTATTGGGAATAAGCAAAGCCATCTGATGCTTTGCATAGAAAATGAGAAGATCAAGGTGCAGAAACACTATAAGTTGTTTGTAGATATTGAACATTCACATCAAAAGTGTGAGGAAACCAGCGAAGTGTGAATAGTTATAGTCTATCTTTTAATTCCCCAAAGTATACAGATTCATTTTACCACACTATTATCTGTACCACATTTCTAGTTTTATTAGATTATTCCCTATTATGCCTGTCAAACAGAACTTTGCAATTTACAGAGAGACATTCATTTTCCTAATAATGTGGGTCAGAAGTTGTTGTTAAGATTCTCAAGTAATCAAATTTTGTTTCAGCAACTTACAGTGATTAGTCAGCAGCTGGCTTGGCTGAATATAAAGATGAGATATTTTGAACAAAATCAACCTTACTCAGAGAACTATAGAAGGGCCAAATTATGGTATCTTGAAATAGACACATGAATCAAGTGAATAGCAGTAGCCAAAGGACTATATTTTTTTAAAAGCTGAAAACTTTGAGCAAATTCCAAATCTTTAAACAATTGGTATAAGGGACTCATTTAAAACAGTCAAGTAGAAAAATGAAAATCAACAGAAAAAAAAAAAAGGTCTGACAAATGTTTGAGGTAAATTATAAGGACATGCTGGTCAATAATATTGAGTGCCACTTAGAAGTCTATATCAGATTATTAGTGTTTACTCTATTGGAACCAAATAATATTTTAAATTTGTCAGTAATTCTTATCAGGCTACCTTCCATATATTATGCAATTCAAGTGGTCTTTAAATTATTGTCAAATTCTACCTGAAAGAGAACTTTCACAAAGGACATGCAATTTATATCATCTAGAGTTACTGTCATTTCTAGGCTAAGTCCCATGGAAATTCATAACTTAAAAATGAAAGTCACAAAGATGCAACTGCCTTCATAATGCCAATGCAGCAGTTATAAATATTTCATGAACATTGCATGGGCAGGGGCAGATCTCCATTTTCATGAGTTAGAATTTGTACAGCTAAGTCTCTAGATTTTACTATTCATAATGCACAGTATGCCCTGTAGAGCATTCCATATAGTGCTTTTTTAATATTTATGTTTAATGAAGAAATTACTGTTATGAAAAAAAGAACAAGCCAAATATTTCTTGTGAAAATTATTAAGTTTTGCTGAATAGAGACAATAACAATCAACAGAAATCACCTCATTGCAGTATCTTAGCACATAAATGCCTAAGTTTTAGAGTAATACAGGATGAAAGACCAAGCCACCTTAAATCTAAATGAAAAGGTTCTTTCTAAAGGTTATAACTTTAGAAATCTCATCTTAAAAGAATTAGAAAGGTTAAAATGAAAAGAGCAACTTCCTTACATATAAAAATATTAACTAAAATTGATATACTTGCCTACTGTTTTATAATTTAAATATATGTCTATATTTTTCTGGGATTTTCTTTTATTCAAAAAAAAAAAACATTTAAACTTGCTAAGATAATATTACCAAGTTCAATAATGAATTGCTGTTGCATATTTTAAGATAATTTATCAAAGCACATTAGCAGTACTTGTCAGAATAAATTTTGTACTAAAAGTAATGGGGAAAAAAAGACTATTGTATGTATTGAAATCAAAGAACATTACTACAGCTAAGTTATTTTCAATGGGAAAGGATAGGTGATTGCCCTCTAAATGATAGTTGTCCCATGAGGAAATAAAAGCCTGAAAAATCACAGGAAACAGGTGCAAGAAAACGTTTATTCCTTGTTTTAAAAAATGAGCGTTTGATGTTTTATTTCATTTTTGTCATTTTGATCAATTCTTTTAAGTAGATGAGTGGAAAATTGCTGTGCAGATCTTGGTGACATTAACAGAAATAAAGTTACTGATCAGCTCATGCATAATCTAAGACTGCCTTTTTCCATATTAACATACAGTAGTATCTTGTTTAGATTGATTATCAAATCAAGCATGGATTTTCTTTGCAATACATGTCAATGAAACTGAGTCTTCTAATAATGAAAACAACAGACCAGAGTTAAGCCAGGAGTGAGCAAGTTGTTTTTTTTTTTTTTTTTTTAATTAGACCTGAACCAATGAGGTCACCAGAAAGCCTATAATATTTCCTGAACTTACCACCAGAAGTTTATGTTTTATCCCTGATATTATTTAACTGGAAGTGGGAAACACTTTCTTCCATTTGGTTCTTTGTAATTTTATTTCCAAAGACTCCCTTGAGGAATTTACCTTTATGTGATGAATTTGCAGTTCACTTGAAGTGTGTTAACCTTAGTTCCTTAATGAGTCTAGGTGTAATACTGAGGAGGAATTTGAGAAATATATCATGTAGCTCATTGTCAAGTTGGATTTTGTTTTGCACATCTCTGCTGTTGCTGTTGTTCTGATATACATTTTGATCACAATTCTTTAATTATGTTCTATATTTAACTGACCTATTTGAACAGGATCCAGAACTGGTGCGGAACATCTGTCGCTGGGTTAGACAAGCTGTTCGGGTTCCCTTTTTTGCCAAGTTGACCCCAAATGTCACTGATATTGTAAGCATCGCCAGAGCTGCAAAGGAAGGTAAGGATTAGACTTATATGGTTTTCCAATTAAATAAATATGGACCTGAATTATATACCATAATAAAGCATGACTTTTTCCATAAACATAAGTGTATTTCTTTCATATCTGGACTTAAGCTAGGACATGGATCCTGACTTTTGACTTGAGAACATGAGAACCTTTGTAACTTTTTTTGAATAAGCACTTGTTTCTTACACAAAGAATTATGTGACTAAATTGAAGTCACAGCAGTATGATCCCCTCCAAAATAAATGACCTCAAAATATAGCAATTAAGTAATAATAGCATTTAAAACTTTTAATAAGTAAAAAAAAAAAAAAAAATCAGTTTCCACAAAGTGAAATTGATTATAGGTTCCCTGTATATTTGATAAGGAGTCCTGATAATGGCGTGCTTAAGAGCTCAAAATGTTGGTGAAAAGTCCACAGTTTGACTGCATCAGCCACTCCACAGGAGAAATGTGGCAGTCTGCTTGCATAAAATTTATAGCCTTGGAAACCCTAAAGGGCAGTTCTACTCTGTCCTATCGAGTTGCTTTGAGTTAGAATTTTTTTTTTTTGGTCTTATATTCGATAGAGCCTAGCACATTGCCTTAAACACATGCTCAATAACTATCTGTTGAATGTATAAATCATGAAGTCAATATACGGCTTTAAAAGTCATACATGTGTGTGTTCCATCCAAGGAAATTGCACCCTTGTTTGCAATGACATTGTAAATTATCTGGAAGATAACACTGCATAAAAAAAAAAAAAAATTGGCATCAAAAATCTGTATAATAATTGAGAAAATGAAGTAGTAGTAAATAAAACTTTGTATGCCTTACATTTTAGCGTTATTGTGGGAGTTAGATTAGTAAAGACATTTGAGGGGAGGAAATGTTCTTAAGAGAAAGTAACGTGCATTTTCGTGGGTTTTGTGGGTTTGAATGGGTTTTTAATAGTTTTCTCTTTAAAAACTACAAGAAATTGGTGATGTGTTTTTCACAGGTGGTGCAGATGGTGTTACAGCCACTAACACTGTCTCGGGTCTGATGGGATTAAATGCTGATGGCATACCCTGGCCAGCAGTGGGTATTGGAAAGCGGACCACATATGGTGGAGTATCTGGTAGGTGTTGGCCTCTTCTGGTATTATGCTTCTGCTAAGATTGATGAAAAATCAGGAGGTCATGTTGTAAGCAAGATTATTTTATAGTCCCAAATTCTCGTAACTCATTGTTGGTCAATATTCCTAATAGTTGCAACAGATGGAACATCTTGAGTGTGAGGGCTCAAGTGACTGGTACCACAAAATGAGAGAATATTGAGATATGGGGTCCTGCAAAAATTTTATTCTCTTCTCGTCTGTGCTTATACCATAATTTCTCATTGTCATGACTGGCTTGTCACTTATTAGTAAAGACTAATACTAGGGTATTTGTATTAGCTCTGAGTGCTCTGAGTGAAAAATATCTGATTATAATCTCTGTTTCATAGCATGGATTAGTCTTCATTCTTGCTAGAATTAAAGTATCTACCTTCTTCAGAACAGCTTGCTTTAACACTACCCCAAGCAAATCATTAAGATGCTGTGTTTATAGCTGCAGTTGATAAGACATTTGCAGACTTCACAGTTTTGCACATTCTTTCTCATCATCTATCATTTGCATTTAAAGAAGAAGTTTTAATCTCAGAGTCCTGTTCATCACCTTTGCCCTATTCACCCTGTTGCTGTGACATGAACTTGATGTTGCAAAGACAGTGCTGATGTGAGGTTCTTGACTGTACTGGTATGGGGATTAGTCTCCTTGGTGATAGAGACAGTGGTAAATATACATAAATAACTTAGCGGTTTCCCACTGTTCAAGAAAAGCATTGCTGAATCAGACCAAAATATGCTTTTGGAAGAAGCTGGATAGACACAAATAAAGCCTCTATCCATGCTGAGATATTATGTTTTGAGAGCATGAAGTGTGTCTATGAGCTGTGATTTAAAAAAAAAAAAAGATTATATTCCGTGTTTAATTGAATGCCGTTCCCACAATGTTAGAAGGAAGAAAGCTGACGAGAAACACCTGCTCGGGGTCTGCACACAACTCTCTTTTATCAGGAGCTATCAAACAGGGCCTTAAATATTATTTGTAATGCAGAATAACATGGACTATGTTAGCATGTGCCATAAAAGGGAGTCAAAAGCCTCCAGAGTTGGGCTGTAACATGCTCTATGTTTTCTGTCAGCCCATTTCAATTTTCCCAGCCTGCCATGTTGACAGCAAGAGAATAAAGAAGGTCACAGAGGGTGCTGCACATTAAAAATTAATAAAAGAACTATTGCAGTAGTATTTTATGTAAGTAACACCATTCACATTTTCTCATTTAAGCTGCAATTTCTGAATATTCTTCCATGCTATAATTCAGTCTAATAAAACTACGAAATTACAGCATTAGAAACAGTCTTTTGTGTTGCAGTCTTTAAGCATACACACACTGGAAATTATAGCAGTATCTGAAAACAAGTTCAGCTATACCTCAGGGCCTGTTAACATTTCCATAAAACTCTATTTCTAAGATTTATAAATCCATATATAAATATTTACTTGGGCTATAAGCTCAGCTAAGCCTGGGTAGAACTTTCATTTTGAACAACAACAACTCCTAACATTTTTAAGGGCTTGTACCTCATTTCTAATAAGTTGTATATAAGTCCCTTTACATTAAACAATCTGTTTTGAAAATAGCCTCTTTCCATATTGACAAAGTTAATAGATTTTTTCTCCTTTAAAGCAATGCTTGCTTTAATTTAAAGGTAATAGAATCTGAAAAGCAGTTTAAGCAGACAATGACAATATATTTATAACAGAAGCAAGTTCCATAACAAAGTACCTTCGACATGAATTACAGCAAAACCTAGCCTAGCAAAACTGTATTAAATAAATGCTAAATGGTAATGACTCCAACGTTCAGGGGTGGTGGAAATATCAAAATAGCTAAATTCCATTCCTGGTTTTATCACATGTGGCTGTTAGGATTTCAAATACTGCCCCAATATAGAAATTACATAAAACATGCCAGATGATCTTTACAAGATTTATATATATATATATATATATATATATATATATATATATATATATATATATATTGCTGTAACAGAGTGCTAATGCTTTCCTCTCTGTTCTCTCAAAGCATTGGAATGTCTACACCTAGAAGGGTTGCTTGAATAATAGTTTTTTGTTTGTTTCTTTCTTTTTTAAGTGAAAACAAAATAGACTCCAGTTTTGGATAACTACCTGAAATACAACACATACATTTCATTGCCAGGAAAGAATGTTTCGCCTGTTCAGTGTAATCCCTAGCTCTTTATTCAATCTTTTTTTTTCTTTTTTCTCAGAATAAATTTTCTGCTATTTACAGGTGTTTTTGTTCATTTGTTTGTTTTTTCCTTAAAGTAAATAGGAAAATAGTGAGGTACCTGGGGTGGTGCCCATAGAAAAACGATCACCTGTCAGTAATATCTTCTCTTAAAAAAACATTAACTAATAAGAGGCAGTGACTTGCATTAGGAAGACAGACCTCAAGTAAGGAACATTAGTTGAACTATTTCAAATATGATTAGTCTGGCTTCTAGGGTAATCTAAAGCAATGTTTCTCAAACCTGAGTGTACCTTGGAAACAAGTTTAATGAGCTATAAATGTTTTTTTAAAAAATGAAATCAAATAGAATAAAAATTTGTCAGAATACTTCACACATAGTTGAGATAAGCATTGTTTCATCAAACTTATTTTTCAGTTATGTATACACTCATATGTATTTCTGTACTGGATCATGATGAAAAATGCATATTTTACTGTGATGATCTTCAAAAAAGTTGGAAAGCTACTGCTTTAGAGGGAGGTCTCCTTGTTAAATAAGTCATTATTGGTATAGAAAACTAAATAACTACTACTTTGTTACAGTTTAAAAATTATATTGTGAGGGAGAGTTAGGATCACATTCCAAAAACTCATCTGCAGCTTTGCTGTTTCAGAAACTGCCATTTTTAAATTTATCTGTAAGTGATTTGACCTGGAGGGCTGAAACACATGAACCAAACTCATAGTTGAATGATTTATAAATCTGAATTTCAATTATGGGAAAAACATTCGGCAAAATTCATGCTCAGAGTACACATCCATTACAGATTGCATTATATATATGTATACATATACACATATATATATGTGTGTACATCATATGTGTGATGTGTGTGTGTGTGTGTATATATATACACACACACACATATGTACATAGTGATTTGAGAGTGAAAGCAGTATCAAATAAAAACCTTTTTGATATTCATAAGAGATATTTTTCATAAAACTAGTATGGTTGTTTAAGCTCAGTACTATACAAATACTTTAGTCTGAAGCATTGATTCCAAAGATTTAACTTTCTATGGACAGTATAGATTTAACGCTGATAGTTTGTTATGACCTAACTTTCATTTTCTAGATTCCATGCAGAAAACATTTGTCCAACAGCAGTTACTTCATGGATCACCACACAATTTAGTAGATTATTGGGTTTTTTTGTTTTTGGAGAAATTCTTTCGCCTTATGTATTTCATTGGGAGGTCTGGTAGAGTAGTGCCTAAGGCACTTGACTGCTAACCAGAAGGCTGGCGGTTCAAACCCATCAGCTGCTCCTTGGAAGGAAGATGGGGCAATCTACTTCCATAGTGATACTGTCTGGGAAACCCAAGGAGGGGTCACTATGAATTGGGTCCGACTCGATGGCACATAACAACAACAACAACAACATGTATTTCATTGGAAGAAACCCTGTTCTCATTAGCAGCACGTTTACAAACACCATCCTCAAGTGAATTAACCATGATTTTTCATGGTTTAATTCATTTTGTTTGTTTTAAAACCTGAGCTTTTTCCTGACCTTATCCCCAAATACTGAGAACATCTTAAGTAAGTTCCTAACTCTGTGGTTACTATCACTTCTATCAATCAGTGGTGTGATCCAGTTGTAGCATGACATTTCCCATGGTCTCCCCATGGACAAGCTTCTTTTAAGAGTTGTTTAAGGGTCTTGTATGGCATAGATTAAAATTGTCTTCCTTACATCTGACTGCATGAGTATAAAACCTTTATTCATTTATTACTACATTAGGAGAAACAGTAATTGTGTGTGTACACCAAAATAATACAAGTATCTGGTTGATGGGGTAAATTTATTTGGAGGAGATTTTTTTTCTTAATGTTCTGTTTTTATTAATTTGAGGTATAACATATTTATAGGTTCATTATGTTATTCCATTGTCCTGCACTTACTTTGTTTGTTACATGTACACACACACATATACACACTCACATAGGAAAAAGTTCTAAAATTAGCTTACAGAAGGAAATTTAGTTAAAATGATGATAAATGGCTTAGCCTCAATAAAATTTATCTCCTGCAAGCTTGAAAAATTAACTCATTGTTTTAAATTATTTTTATTGGCCCAATTAAATAAAAAGAAGAAAGAAATAAAACTAATTGTTCTTAAATTCAAATTCTGGATACTGTTTAAAATTATTGATTCTGTATCAACTTGCTTAATAAAAATAATAGGACATACTTTGCTTCATTTTGCTAATTACAAGCTTCATGATTGATTTCGGTACAATTCATCAAAGATGACCTTTTTGTTTGATTTCTAATTTAGGTACCAAAATTTGGTAATCACTTTTAGGATATAACAGAAAGTCTGTGAAATGATTTTGTATTTCTGAACAAATGATAATGGCATACTCTATAAAAGCTCTCACACTCTACAGGTAAATATTGAGTGATTTGAAATCTAGCTAGACAATAAGCTCTGACCAAATTCTTACTGTCTCAGAACTCCTAAAGGTCTTTTCATTGTAAAAATAACATGGGAAGTACCAAGAAAAGAAGGTACAACTTCAAGATTTTGCAAGTAATTTGTAACTGGGATGGTGTAGGGCCAGATGTGAAAACAGAGTGAATACAATAGTTTAGAAAACTTGCACAAGCTTGATTCAGTATAGTGGCTTAACAAAGGAGTTTAAGCACTGACTTCACATTGCGTATTACATTTATTTGTTTTAAAATGGTTACTTAGGCATGAATGA